CTTTCTTGAATCTTCACTACTTTCTTGAATCTTCAGATATTTGAGCCCTACTGTATATAAATCACACTAATTTTTATCCAAGTATTTAGATTATTAGAACCGCATGCTTCCGAATCGAATGGTAATGATGGCACGCATGAACTGGACAATGTACAACAAAGGCCAACAATAACAAAAACAAAGTGCATTAAAAATGTTACTTTGCTCATCATTTTGAATCCCGTGTGGAGAAGTTTCTTGGCGGCCTTGTAGTAAACCGTCTCTGGTCGGTTATAAACCATGGCATTGTCACACATCAGCTTGAAGTCTGCCTGGAGATGTCAAACCCACAGATTCAGATAAAAAATAGTCACATTGTAAAAGAATGTCATTTCAGTGGACTAAAATATATTAGTAGTTTCAAGAATCTGAAAATGAAGATTGTAAAATTTGGTGTTACATTGTGGGTTTAAATGAATAGGCTTGGACTTGGTGCTTGTAACCCAAGGACAATGGTGACACCAGAATAAAAATATTCATGATTCTGAAGCTGAAAATACAGAATAACATTAGACGAATATACTTGCACTCTGTCACTGACTAGATATATATCAAATAAATGTCAGGTAACATAAGACATTTGGCATTATCAGGACCCACAAATATTCCCCCATTGCATTATTATACATTATATATAGTAGTTTAATGTAGTACTGACACTAAAACTATGAAAACTTGAATTTTTTCTCACACAGTAATTTTTATTTTGGGGGAACTATCCACGATACATATTGTTGCATTTTTGTATTGCGATATATTGTGGCACGATATTTTGTTACACCCCTATAAAAGAATGTCATTTCAGTGGACTAAAATACATTAGTAGTTCCAAGAATCTGAAAATGAAGATTGTAGCCGGACACTTGCGTACCTTGAATTCTGTGATAGTTTTGTATTCATTTTCAGCTATTTTGTCCTTCATCGTGCCAAAGTCCATGGGATGTTTGATTATCATGGAGTAGCCAGGTGCAATGGCATCTGTTACAGGGAAGGAGAAGAATCCATGTGGATCTTTCCTGTTGAGACAGAAAGATTGTCCTCATATATTCCAGATTAGATGACACTATGCCTTCTGCTTTTTGCAGGGTCTCACCTCTGAAGCAAACGCAGGAAATGCTCCAAGAGCTGCTGGCGAGGGGTGGATTCATTTTCTAGGAAAAGCCAAACGGTAAAAAGACAATCAATAAGAAAAATAATCTGAAATCCATTCATGATTTGTCTTATAATTTATGTAAGCATTAAGGTACGAGAGGCTGTGCTGTATCGTGAATAAGTAACGGCTGAAAGGCGTTGTTAGGCACGACGCGAAGTGGAGTGCATGCAACCCCTTCAGCCGTTACTTATTCACGATACAGCACTTGCCTCGAGTACCTTATTGCTTTTATAAAACGGTTACCACACAATATTAAAGTAAAAAAAAAAATATTAGTGCAACTTTCATGAAGTTAAATCAATAAAAGCATTCCTTCCGCTAGAAAAAAATAGTCCCTGACCGTGAACAACAACGTTCCAATGTTTAATATGCATGAAAGCTCAAATAAAAACAACAAACCGTTCTCAAACTTTGTCTCATTCTTTTTATTTTTTACAACACAATATTTGTGAAATTTCCTCACACAAATAGGCATAGCTTATCTCTCAGCATGAGAAAACGTTTATTTTTTTGTTCATTCCGTTACTTTCTCTCTGCACTAAACTAAACATAGCCTAAATAAAAACACAAGGGCACACATTTTGATAGATAACAGTTAGGTCTTTAATCTATTTTATTAATGTTATTAATTTAGTTGCTAAAATGCTGCCTAACAAGAGATAATAATAAATAAATATTTGATAAATAGATCATTTTGAAAGATAAAAATTAATACTTGTAGAAGTCTCTCCAAATTGTTCCTCAAACCACTTATCCATCGTCATGCCACCTAGTAAATCGAAATTTACTTTAAACATTTCAGCGTTTTTTTCTATGTTTAGGTTGATACGTGTGGTTGCTAAGGGTGCAGTGATAAATACTAGAACCGTTGGGTGAAGCGGTCATAGTCGTGTTTTATCGTGAATAAAGCACAGCTATTGACCAATCAGAATCAAGGATTGGAACTAACCGTTAAATAGTTATAACTTATAATTTATAAACAGTTTAATTAATATATTTGTCCCTGAGGCTTCAGAATTGTACAATTAATTTGAATTTAAGCAATGGAAAATATTGTAAATGTAGTTTTTAGTATGAAAAAATGATAACTCAATATATTATTTAAGGATTCAAATTTTAATGTCAATATATATTTTCATGGTAAAGCTTCACAATAAGATTCCATTTGCTAACATTAGTAAACTACAAACTGAACTAATAATAAAAAATACTTCTGAAGTATTTATTAAACTACTTTTAATGTATTAAATCATTTATTTAATCTAATCTAGTTGTACCTTGTTGAGTTCGACAGGCTCGTACGGGTCGATCCGCTTGCTGCTCCACTTCTACTTTCACTCCAGGATGAAATTCATCTGCCTCTGATTCCGATTCAAATTTGTCCCGCTTCCTCTTCTTCTCCTCTAGAACCACCTGTGGCAATACACTCCTTTAGTAACAGCACTCAACTAACCTCTGGATACTCAAACAGGCATTCAGTGCCTTACCTCCACAGGCTTCGGCAGGGTGAACGGTTCCACTGGTCCACTGGCGGCACTTTCTGACTGCTCTCGCTCACGTTTCTTCTTTTTCTCCTCCTGGATGAAACACATACAGAATTTGTAAGATGAACAAGTATTTTTTTTTTTTTTTTTACATTTTCTGAAGTAAATGTGAGTGCTTTTTGTCTGTGCAATCCAGTGTTATTTTAGTAATTAGATACTGTTAAATATATATATATATATATATATATATATATATATATACATTTTTATTTTTGTATTTTCCATTTTAGATACATTTTTTGTTTTTTGCTTTTATTAATTGTTATTTCAGTTTTAGTTATTTTAGCACATCAAGTTAAACTAAATGAAAATGAGAAATTCTGGCAGCTAACTTAAATAAATGTTTAGAAAAGTAAAGAAAGTAAAGAAAATGTTTGTTTTTTTAATGGTTTTAGTTATGATTTTAGTTAACTAAAATAACCCTGGTGCAAAGTAACCAACAGGGCATTGTTTCTATGTATGGGTCAGGCCCCACTTCAATGTGAGTTTATGGGATTTTTACATATTCTGGGTGAATATAATATGTTTAATCAAGAATAAAGGTTATTAAACGGCTATAAAAAAAAATTGTATGTGAATTTTATTATGCAAGTAGTTTTCAATCCTGGTCCTGGGGACCCAATGCTCTGCACATTTTGTATGTCTCCTTTATTTAACAAATCTGATTCAGATCATCAGCCTGTTAAGAGAGAGATCCATGAACTGAAGATAGGAGAGACATACAATATGTGCAAAGCAGTGGGTCCCCAGGATCAGGATTGAAAACCAGTGCATCATGCAATGATAAATGTTGTCATACAACCTCATCACGTTTCTTGTTTAATTCAGCAAGTAGCATCCAATTATCCATATGAAATTAGCAATCCAATTTTGTGTAAAATGTCTTTACTTTTGGCAGTCTGATCAAATAACAAGGCAAGAAAAAGGCTAAAATATATATTTTCAGGTTCATTTTAGTAGCATTAGGTCATGCAGATATGATATGATGAATATGCATGCTGAATATTCTCTTACTGTGCACGATATATACAACATTTAAGGAATCATGAGCAATCATTAAATAATAGTGATGCTTGACTTCTGAGTGTTTAAGAGTCGTTCTTTTCACTCACCTTTCTCCTCCTCCTCTCATCATCATCTACATATTTCTCCTTCTCTGATTTCTTCTTCTTCTTCTTTTTCTTTTCTTTGTGCCGCTCCCACTCGTGGTCAGAGCGGTCGTCATAGTAACTGGAGTCATGTCCGGAGCCGGAGAGCTCGGTCACTTCACTGCCGCCCACCTTGAGTACCAGCTTCAGGGGTTTATCCAGGGGTTTGTCCTCATAGTCTGAAAAACGACACACAAAGCCATTAAGCCATTTACGGTGCATGAATGTTTTGTATAAGCATTGAAGTTAATGACTTTTCTGCTCTTTAAGATTCTGCTGTTCTGTCACTTCTCATTAACCTGCAGTAATATTTATCAGATCAAACCCACACTATCACTATAATCATTTAGATCAGGGGGTTTCAAACTGGGGCCTGAGGATCGCAAAGAAGTGCTAACAAGTGTAAAAAAATAAAATAATAATAATTATTACAACATTTAATTAAAATAATAAATAAATATATAATATCAAATAAGTTTAAACTAAATTAATACAAATTTAAATAAAACATTTTAATAAAATAACAAATAAATGAATAAATAATACATCTAACAGTATAATACTACAGTGAACAGAAAAAGTAATAATGCAATATAAACTAAATATTTAAATAATTTATAAATTACACATTTATATGTCACAGTAATACATTAGGTGTATATATATACATGAAAATATATAGCTGTCTTTTAAGTCTTATGATGAGAATGATCATATTTGTGGGGTCCGTAGCATCTAAAGATCGAAACCCCCTTATTTATACAACGCCCAGAAGAAACAATCATTGATTATACAATTTTGGGTGGTTTTGCATGAATAAAACCAGATATATATCGCATTTTCTGACTATTTACATACGCACTTGCAGAACACTCAGAATGAATTAAAGTGATTTTCACATGCATATCCAATATTCACCTCCTTCAACCGCTCTCCACTCGGGTCTGTGTTTCTTATGCTTTTTCCCCATAGTGTGTCTTTATTTATATGAAAAAGAATCTGGTTTAATCTTCATAATCTGCGTTTTTTTGTCTCACAGCCGCTCTTCGTTACAGCAACAACAACATTAGCCGCAATGCTTAACTTCCGGCTTCAGGTGGCGTCGTTTCCGGCGCAGGCTGGCGTGACGTCACCGTTAGCGCGGTAAGTTCGAGTTTGTCTGTCGCTGTTGTGAGAGGTGAGTGTGTTTAATTCCACAGGTCTTTCTTTATTTAATCGATCTGTTAATAAATATGACAGTTAACACAATCTACAACTATAATATGAACGTAAGACAACATAAACCATTCATGCTGTGCGTTAGGTGATTCGCGCGTGATGTTTTATGATAATAAAGGCTGTGTTTCAAAACAGAAGGCATGTTTGGATGTTAGTTAGTCTATATACTAACATATAAGTTATATAAGTTATAAGTCTATATACGTTAGTCTATATGATAACAGAAAAATAATACCATGGTGCATTGTTATTGGTACGTGTTTGCTAATGCTATGTAGTGTTAAGGTGTTTTCGGTGGTTGCTTGGAGGCAGATTAACAAATATGTAAAGTTACACTGTAAAAAAAAATTATGTCACGATTTGTTTTCACAACTTCTGTTGTCAAATCAGCTTGTATAATTAATGTGGTTCAGATAACATACTATTTTGAGTTTCTGTTCATTAAACCAATCTCAATTTAATTAACTGAAAATCTTAATTTCAATGAGCTCAATTTTAAGGCAACCAGTTTACTTACTTTTTTAAGTTAATCCAACAACAGTTGTGAAGAGTGATCACTAAGGGGTTTGTTTGTTATATAAATCTGATTTTGCCTCGTTACATCACATTTTTGACTTTTATAGATTTTTATAGATTATGTACATAGTTCTTCTGACTGTGTTTTTTGTTTTTCAGCCAACAGCACTTTGAGTAATGGACATTTCTGATCATCACATGACTGAAGTTGGCATCATCCGCCCAGATGTGCACATAGAGGTTCATGTGAAATCTCAGAGGTATTTCATAAGTGAATGAACTGAATAGGATGATTAGACTCTGATTTAGTTGTTACAGAATTCAAAACTTGACAAACAATTACATTTTTTAAGTTATAAAATCACATAATTAGATCAGTAGTTCATGCATGTGAAATCTGTGAAATCACATTTCTGAAGCAAGTAATGGGCTGTGTGAGCACTGTTTCATGTTGACATGTCTATATTTGCCTCTGCATGATTTAAAAGGTATAAATATGTGTTTGCAGCACAGCCAAGAGGTCTGACGTGAGGACGCATGTGCTGTCGCTGCTGGATCGACACAGCTCGGTTTTAAGGTCTTTCAAGTGGACGGAGTTTGATGATGAATTTCTAGCCAAAAATGTGGAGTCAGTCACCATAGGAGATGTAGCTGGTCCGAAAGTAAATCGTTTTTTTTTGTTTTACATCTGTGTACATTCTGCTTTATATTTTATATGCTGTTTATTACATCTGTTTCAAGTGGGGTTTTACGTCATTTTTCAGTCTATGGATGTGATGTTTCTTATATGTTCCACAGCTTGTGGATCTGAAGGTTTACAACCTCTGTATCCATGTGTTTTCCCTGAATGATGACAGTCCGAGCACGCTCACTCTGGAGGAAGAGGAGGAGCTATCTGCTGCCAATCATTGGCTCCTCCCAGCTGGTGATTATCCATGACACGCCCCTTTCAAGCACATTCACAAATTCCTGCCGTAGTTACGTGTTACTACATGTATTTACTATAGTAATAACAGTATGCATAATTAACCCTAAACCAAACCCTAACCGTAACTCTAAGTACTTGTAATTAGTTAAAATTACTCAGTACTTATTTGAGTAAGTATAATGTATCTACGACACCTTATAAATACCTAAATAAAGTGTAACCAATTAAAATTCAGTTGTTATTTACTTGTTCAAAATCCGTATGCTGTTATTTTATGTTGATTTGATAAAGACTTGAAATATAGTGCATGGACAGCTGTTATGTGTTTTATTTATTTATTTATTTAAAAAACTGTCCTTTTTGGAGTTTGGCAGTTTAAATCTGCATATGCTATTATTGTGCATCAATAGCAGCTTAATTCTGCCTAAGATGCTTTTGTCTGTTTTAATAATTGTTTTTAAATTATAAATTTACATTTAAGTTTGAAATTACATGGGGGCGTAAAACAATGACAGAATTATATTTCTTTTTTGCATGAACTGTTCCTATAAAAATGGTTAATTAATCGAGTTAATGCTGCTCTGTGTTCATCTCTGTATCACTGGGTTATATTATTTGGGATATTTTTCCAGGGGTCATTCTTTCCCTTTTTTAAATTCTGAACACAATATACATTTTCACATACACACGCACGTTTACTATCAGGAGAAAACAAACCTAAGTATGTCAGAGCAGAGCTCATTGTAATATTTCTACTCCTCTGAGAAAATTGTTTTATTCTGTTGATCCTTTTGAAAAGATGTTTAATCCAAATGTAGTTTTAGAATTTTTAGGACAAATGTGTCTCATTTAGTTTCTGTTTTAATTTGTAATAACTCGAGTATTGTTTTTGCCATTAAAAATAGCCGAGGAGCTGGCATGACATGTAAACAAATAATACATTGTGGTCTGACCCATGTTTAAGACTTACAACATCTTCATCTTTTTCTTCATGTCTTCCAGCTGAGTTTCACGGCATTTGGGAGAGCTTGATTTACGAGGATGGCATCAAAACACAAGTAAGACCTGTATATTCACAGTCATCTTGAAATTTTTTGAAATAAATTAGCAGAATTATGCTTGTTAGCAGAAGTAGGTGGTATAACCAAAATCTTATATCACAGTGGAGGTCATATGATATATACTGCATGTTGCATAATGCATATCAATATATATTTATGTATATTTATATTGACATGTATTTTTAATATTAGGTCCATATTTGGTCCATTTCCCTGGAAAAGAAAGATTTAAATCCGTCTGTCTGTTAATTTGAGCTAAGAGACTAAAATCTATAAAACATCAATTATAATTGTATAACAGTGTTTGTATAATGTTTGGGACACATTATTCTCCATATCCTCCAACTGATAGTCATGCACACACAGTATATCTACAGCAGTATAAGCAAGCATTATTGCAAAATCTTTACCGGTTGACACATTTCATCCGTTGCATTTTCATAAACGCCCATCCCTACTTGTTGGCATCCCATAACATGATCTTTATCTTTACTTTGGTCTCCAGCTCTTGGATTATGTTTCGACAACAATTTTCTTCTCTGACAAAAATGTTGACAGCAATTTAATTGCCTGGAATCGTGTCGTGTTGCTTCATGGTAAGACAATAAAAGCTTGTTTGTTATCTCAGCAATTTCTGTCTTCGTTGAACGGCTGCCCATACCATGTTTATACAGTTGCCTTTCTCTCATAAACCCTCAGGGCCGCCTGGCACCGGGAAGACGTCTCTATGTAAAGGACTTGCTCAGAAACTCTCCATTAGACTGTCTGGCAGGTGTGACATCTTTCATAAAATAAAAAAGGCTGCTGCTGAACGTACTGAATTCATCACCATTGTTCTTCACACATTTCCTCAGGTACGCGCACAGCCAGTTCGTGGAGATCAACAGCCACAGTCTCTTCTCCAAGTGGTTCTCAGAGGTACAGCTTGATCCGTCACATCTGAAACTCTTCCTCAGATCCATGTCTGAAACGCTGTGAACACACGTGCCTGTTTTACAGAGTGGAAAACTGGTCACGAAGATGTTTCAGAAGATTCAGGAGCTCATTGATGATAAAGATGCCCTGGTGTTTGTCCTAATAGATGAGGTACTCTCCTTTTAAAATCATTAATATATTAACATCAATATTCCTTTAACCCTCCTGGCCTCTTCGGTCAGAAATGGCCGACGTTGGAAATTAATGGGAAATACGAAAAAATATGAAAACTCAGAGAATCTTTTGGTGGTATAAACTACAAATCAGCCACTGTGCTGAAAAAAGTGCACTCTAATGTAGAATTATCGCTATCCATTCCTTATTTTGTTCGATTTTTTAATTATCAAATACAGAGTAACAAATATGCTTTCCATGTATTTCCTTTTCTAACAATTTTTTTTTTGTTTGATTGATCATAATGCAAAATCTGATACTTATCTAACAAAAAAAAATCTACACCTTGACAAAAAGTAGTCTTTTAGAATGTCTAAATATGATATATCTAAATGCAAAGCCTAATAAAATTAAGAAATTATGTCTAAAAAAACAACAACGGGAATCCAAAAGCCTCTCTATATATTTATATAAATATATATTTATATTACTCAAGTTTTTATTTTTTTAATGCCTCTAGGTGCCACTATTCTCACTTAAAAATAAATTTTAAAGGCCTTCACTCTATTTTATTTGTGAAATATTGCATTTATTGAAACATAATAATATTTATATATTTATTCTAATGGAAAAAATATCTCAAACAAATTATAAATAATTCATAGTATCATTCAGACTGATTTCCCAAAACCAGCTGTAACCAACTAAGACATTCAGACCACCTTAGACTGGTTTATAAAAGCAATAAACCCTTGCTTTACAGTGTTATTCCCACAGTGAAGAAGAGAGGCCATAGTCTCCTGGTGAAACAGTGTTATTCAAATCCTCTTATGAACCATCATTTTATTATAATGGAGTCTGAATGATAATCAGTCTTGTGTTGATTTCAGTTCCAGTACAATCATTCAAAAGCAGTTTTATGAAGGATAGTGTTTTACAGTCCTGAATAATTAATGTTTTACCCTCAGGGACACATTGATATTCATATTATATTCTTTTTTACTTAAACTTGTATTTATGAAACCATTAGTTATATATATGTATAAAAAAAAATCATTTTGTTTAGTCCAAATTTGCATCAGGGTATAATTTGGAAAAATGTTGCAAAATTGCAACTCTGTTATGTTTAAATAGGCAAAGGAGACATTATCTAATTAAATATGCACTTATTTGTGGATACATTTCCAGAGGAGAATTTGATTGTATTTTTTTTATCTATCCATAAATCATAAAATACTGTCAACAGGCAGAAAAAAATCACCATGTTTTAAAATTAAACAAATATGCAATATATTGGTAACGCTTCCTTTTACAGTACAGTACTTACGTGTACTTAAAGTGTACTTACCTAGAAAGTACTGGCTAATATAAGGTAAGTACATGGGTTAGGGGTAGGTTCAGGGTTAGTATCTAGTTATTACCCAGTAATTATAATTACTATAATAAGTACATAGTAAGTACATGGGTAACAGGACTGTAAAAGGAAGCGTTACCAATATATTTTACCACTATGTTTTTTTTAATACAGTAAGTGCACATTTTAAATTCACAGCACTGTTCAGCACGCAAATGTATTTAAATAATTATATACTTCAACCAGTAAGGATACAGTCATGAAAAGTTAAGTAGTCACAATTTAAAAACTGTAATAATATCAAAGCATGCTTATTACCACTTAATTAAAATAAATATTATATGTATATACTTGTTTGTGTGTGTGTGTTAGATGTCAAATACATGTTTTCTACATAAGCTAATTAATAAAATTCAGCTGGCTGTTGCTATTCTGTGTAACTTGAGCAAGCTATGATTATTTAATATGCATTTTTTTCCCCCACCAAAACTTGTGATAAATTGCTTGCAACTGTATATACCCATATTTAGTGAGAGTTAGGTATTATTACATTGCAATTGTGACTTGAGCAAGCTATGATTATTTAATATGCATTTTTCCTCCCACCAAAACTTGTGATAAATTGCTTGCTACTGTATATACCCATATTTAGTGAAAGTTAGGTATTATTACATTGCAATTGTGCTAGGCTGGATCACTGAGGGTTCAGTGATGCTTGTTTGTCAGGTGGAGAGTCTCACAGCTGCTCGGAGCGCGTCTCAGGCAGGAACAGAACCGTCTGACGCTATCAGGGTGGTCAATTCTGTCCTGACCCAGCTCGACCAGATCAAACGGTCAGTTTCTCTTCATCTCTGCTGCACTTTCATCTACAAAGGCACGCTTGAAATCAAAATGACTATTTACTTAATGCACGTTGCTGCTCTTATTGGGCATTATTCATCGTCGAGGTTATTGCGAATAAATAAGTCTGTTTTTGTAGTCTTTCATCAAAATATAATAACCTGTTCTGCCATATTTTTCCTTTTCATCTGAAGGCATCCTGCCCTCTTTTTTGTGTGCCATTGAATAACCTGATCCATTTTGTAATATTTCATATTATGGCAGTTAAATTGGGGCTTCCTGTGCAGTTTGTCCATTCATATTCATATAAACTTAGTGTTTCCTTGATTCAGCCACACAAATGTGGTCATCCTCACTACATCCAACGTCACGCAAAAGATCGATCTGGCCTTTGTGGATAGAGCTGATATAAAGCAGTACATCGGCCCACCGAGCGCCAGCGCCATATTCAACATCTATCTGTCTTGTCTGGAGGAACTCATGAAGGTGAGTGTGTGTTCAGCTCCATTGAGCTCCTGTTGAACGTCTCCATTCCTCCACTGAGCTCCACAATTCAGGTTTGATCTTTCCCTGCAGCGTCAGATCATCTACCCCAGACAGCAACTGCTGAGTTTGGAGGAACTGGGAACCATGAACTTCATGGAGAGCGACGTGACCCATCTGAGCTTAAGCCTGAGGAACATCTCCCAGTGAGTGTTTGCTGGTGACGCAACCAGTACTGAAAGTCTTTGAGAATTGATATCTTTCACAAGTGTCTATTTCTGGACAGGAGGAGTGTGGGACTCAGTGGAAGAGCCTTGAGGAAAATCCCATTTCTGGCTCATGCGCTTTTTGGAAAGGTACTCGTCTTTGTTACAATGTTATGTGATTTTTCCACAAATATGGGGTGTTGTTAGTCTAAAATCCTTAAGTGTGGTAAGTAAGGAATAATGTACATTCAGCCAGTTGTTATCACAGAGTAAACCTCGACAGGGTGATCAGCCTGAAGGGGTTTATTCTGAGATAACAACCGGATGGATGTACATAAGTAAATAATTAGATGCGAAATATTGGTTTAGTTGAAATATTTTATTAGCTATTTAAACGCAAAGCTTCCGCGGAGAAAGCAGTTGCTAGCAAGCGGCAAGTTCAAACTAGACAGAAATTTAAGGGATACGTACCATTATAATCATACCACTTATTACACAGCATTTTGCCATATAAATAATTATGGGGATAAGAGATATTTATGTGAGATGAAACCGTTTTAAAATCTTACCTGTTTGTTATCTTAAGTGTACAAAACAATCATTGCAAAATGACAGCAGCTGCGTTCGTATTTAGCAAGAGACAGCGAGACTGCGATACCCGGATGACATAAGTAAATAATTGTACTCCAAATATTGATTTGAGTTTTAATATTTTATCAGCAAAACATTCCTCACAAGCATAAAGCGCCGACTTCAGTTACCCGGATGAGCCTGCGTTAATCAGTTTTTACTGGTTGTTAATATCAGGGGATAACATACCACTGGATGGTGCGATTGACCCATCAGAATCAAGTATTCCACAGAGCCGTGTAATACTGTAATGCATGACCTTAAAGGGTTAGTTCACCCAAAAATGAAAATTATGTCATTAATGACTCACCCTCATGTCGTTCCAAGCCCGTAAGATCTCCGTTCATCTTCGGAACACAGTTTAAGATATTTTAGATTTAGTCCGAGAGTTTTCTGTCCCTCCATTGAACATGTATGTACGGTACACTGTCCTTGTCCAGAAAGGAAATAAAGACATCATCAAAGTAGTCCATGTGACATCAGTGGGTTAGTTAGAATTTTTTGAAGCATCGAAAATACATTTTGGTCCAAAAATAACAAAAACTACGCCTTTATTCAGCATTGTATTGTCTTGCGGTTCTGTTGTTGATCTGCGTTCAGTGCCGCTGCTGACGTGTGTCTGGTGTGTGTGTGTGTGTGTGTTCCGGTTCTGTTGTGGATCCGCGTTCAGTGCCGCCGCTGACGTAAGACGCTGCTGACGTGTGTCTGGTGTGTGTGTGTGTGACGTAAGACGCTGCTGACGTGTGTCTGGTGCGTCCGAGCTTCGTTTACAGTCTGAGGGAGACGCACGCTGGAAACAAAACAATCTTCGCAAACATGTCTAAGGATTTCGGAAGACTTGCATTTTTTTGCCCAGCCATATTTATTTGAACCCGAATACACGGGCGCACCAGACACACGTCAGCAGCGGCACTGAACGCGAATCCACAACAGAACCGGAAGAGAATACAATGCTGAATAAAGTCGTAGTTTTTGTTATTTTTGGACCAAAATGTATTTTCGATGCTTCAAAACATTCTCACTAACCCACTGATGTCACATGGACTACTTTGATGATGTCTTTATTTCCTTTCTGGACAAGGACAGTATACCGTACATACATTTTCAATGGAGGGACAGAAAGCTCTCGGACTAAATCTAAAATATCTTAAACTGTGTTCCGAAGATGAACGGAGGTCTTACGGGCTTGGGACGACATGAGGGTGAGTCATTAATGACATAATTTTCATTTTTGGGTGAACTAACCCTTTAAATGCTTATTGCTGTGATGAAAGGATGCATTTAAAAAATATATATTTATATATATATATATATATATATTCATGATTAATAATAATCAGAATAAACAGTTTTTAAATAAGTAATATAGTTAATTAGTCTTATTCTAGAAAGTGTATGGTTGTCAAGCAATTTAAGACCGGTGAACATTTTAATTAATAGATATCACCATACTTCCCCAGTTGATTAATTACAGTACATTAGGTAAATTGTTTTGTATTACAAGTTTTCTGAAAAGTTATTTTAAATAAAATGTTATTAGGGATGAAATGTTCCATAAATCAGCCAATTGACGTATGAACAAACCCCTCTGTAAAACCCTTCAGAATATATATATGAATAAAACTGTTAGGTTTGGTGTATGTAAAGCTGCTGAAGTGGAGATTTCTGAAAAAAACAAATTACCGCCTTTAAAGATATGTATTGTCATTGAAATCTACAGACACAAGTAGATAAACCCCCGGTTTCCCAGACCGGGGTTAAGTGTAGTCCCAGACTAAAATGCTGTTTTAACTGAAAGGAACTTGCACAAACATATCTTAAAATATGTCGGTGTCATTGTTTTGTCTCAAAATGCACACCAGTAATGTGTTTTCTAAGGCATGTTTATAAAAGCTACTTAAATGTCGTAATTGAACTAAGACCTAATCCTGGCTTAATCTAAGACCTGTCTGTGAAACCAGGCCAATGTGTAATAAAATAAACACGTGAATGTGTATTTAGGTTATTTTCTTTCAAATAGTCTGAAAGAGTTATTGCAGCAAAATAGCACAAAAAAACTATTTATATACAATTTAGTCTTTGTTTTCGTTGTAATCATGTCTCCTGTTGTGTTTCCAGACTGCCACAATGACAGTCGAGAGTTTTCTCAAAGCGATGGGCCGTGCCGTGGACAAACAGAGACAGGAACAGGCGAGTTTGGTCAACTGTGTTTGAGCTGAAGCAAACTGACGTTCTGCTGTTGAATCGAAACGGTTTCTTGTTTTTTTGTTTGTTAGTTCAATATTTCTGCTCAGTTCACCAGCTTCATCCTCTGAAAATGTCCTAGAACAAACCAGTGTTGTTTTATTTCAAGTTTGAAAGTTTAAAACAGCACTTATCTATATGAGACTGTCATCTTCTAGATGGCATTTTTCAAGTCCGCATTCATAAGCGGAAGTTTTGGTGTCCTGAATCCGAGTTTATAATATGCACTGTAGCCGCTGCTCTCTGCATATGAAAAAATGATGTTCTTTTTTTATGTTCAGTTTTTATATGTGTATATATTTAAAATCATTTGATTAAAATGAGACAATTCATTCCTTTTTTTGTTTTTCTGAATTACAATTAAAATGTTTTCACAAGAAAAAAAGTTCTATATAGAACATGAAAGGGTTCATTTAAGGTGCTTCATATATAGAACCTTTTAGGGGTTCATTTTAATGGGTTTAGTTTTTAATCATTTTTATGAATTAAACAGCTCATAAGCATAAGGAAAAAATGAAATAACTTTTAAAAATGAAAGTATTATGCAACCATTTAAGACATCTTTAAAGACCTTAGAAGTTCTTATAGAACCTTTTTGGCATAACATTTTTTTTAAGAGTCTAATTTGTAAATTGCATCCAGTAGATGGCATAAAGGTGCAACATGCAGGAATAAAACCTATGCATGAAATGCTTAGTGAATCGCCTGTCTTTTTTCACTCAAACAGCTCTTATATTAGAAGCTATTTGAAAACCAATTCAGGGTTGTGTGCTAACAGGCTTTATTCACACTGCATCCACTTTTGATTTGGTTTTCAATTCTAGTCTTGCATATTGTCATTACGCTAGAAGTTTGTACAAATGAGATTTCATGATTTTTATTTTGCAGTGTTTGCTACTTGTCTAAGCAAAGCCTGATTTTTGTGTGTAATTTGAACGCATTAAAGTTATAAAACACAAACTAATGCATTAATTCACCCTTGACTTTTTCACATGGTGTTTGACCTTTGCCGGTAAGAAACCTGTTCGACACCATATTTAAAGCGGCCTGCTTTGATATGCTGTTTGGAAAGTGTCAAGTTGTGTGAGAATTTGTTTTATGAGAATCACAAAATCACAAAGAGCTGTTTGATGTATATCATCATCACCCGACGATACCGGATCAAACAGGTAAACACCTGCGAGCCGTCATTGTGCAGGTATCTGTATCGCATTCTTCTGATATGATGTGAGATTAAAATGTGTCAGGCTGCAGACCAGATAAACAGACACATAATTGCAGTGTCTGCAGGCTTTTTTCTCTTCCTGACAGTTCCTCTTCCAAAAACACAACTGCTTAAATGTAATCAGTGGAGGAAGAAAGAAAAAAAATCCTCAAAAGCCTTATTGTTGGAGAGTTTTATACAACTTTTGTGGTTAGAAACTGCCAGAGAGTTCCTAAACAAAGCAAAACAGTATAATGCAGCTGAATTTCTATCTGGCTCCAAGCACTGGAATATCAATAGAGCTTCCAATAGTAATAAATTAGTTGAAGAGTTAATAGACTTGTGGGCAAGTGGTATCGTACAACAACACAAGACATATATGAGCTGTTGTTTGAAATAAAAGAACGATTTATGCTGCTTATTGGCAAATCAGTATTGCATATCTCTCTCCTCTTTCAGTATTGCAAAAGCTCTTTTCCCTCATGCAAATGCAATATGCTTTCATCTCGTTTTTTTCTCTCTCTCAAGCTGATTGCATGTGAAAAATGTTCCTGTGGCAATCGTGCATGTATGAATTACCAACTAGAGTTTTGCATTTTCTGAAGAAAGGGGTTGCTGACTGGCTCACCTAAAAAAAATACTAAAAAAAATTTTTTTGTGCACAACTTCATTAAATGTTTTTGTCTCCGTCACAAAGAGATTATTCAACTGTTTTTTCCATACCGTGGCAGCATCATAAACGTGTCTCTTTATGAAAGTTGAAAGTTGTGTAGACTTTTTCTTCAGAAATAAGAGAGATTAATGACACCATCTGAAAAGTAAAGCTGTTTCGGACTGAGGAGCAAGTTGCATTTTGATGAGATATTAAAGATGTTTTTTGGTAAACATATAGTCGCTCACAACAAGACCAGGAACATGCATTAAGAAATCATTTTGAGTTATTTGACCCCTGCTGGAATCCTTTATTCACTCAGGCCTGATGTCATGCACACTGCTTTGAATGACTAACTTACTTACTGTGATAATATCAACAGGAAAGAGAAAAAAGCAACCCCGCAGGAGCTGGCTTTAGATTTCACCGGCGGTGTAACTCAAGAGACGTTAAACCACAAGCTGGCACGGGTATAGATAGATAGTTTGTGCAGTCCCAGAGAAGAAGTTAAAGTTTGTGGAATATGTTGAACAATAGCACATGTATGTTGAGGAGACATAACAGTTACATAAAACAATAATTTTGAACTTGGTTTATCCAATGTTCACATTTAAGTTCTGGAAATGTATGCAGGTTAATGCATTTATTCACCTGAAGTGTCTTTCCTTAAGTAGTGCTAGTCATGTGAGTGTCAGTAGAGGGCAGCAGAGATGCTGAAGGGGCTGGTCTGAAGGTGTGTGTGTGTGTGTGTGTGTGTGTGTGTGTGTTTCTCCCGCACTTCACTTCACATCATCTTCATCTCCAGCAGAAGATCATCTCGAGAGCTCCTGCGACAGATCCTCTCCTTCACTCTTCTGCATTACAGACTCAGTGAACGGGACTCTGCGGTGTCGCGCGCTCGATGTTGCTCGTGCTCGCATGTTTCCGGAATCTGCAGGATTTGACTTTTTATTTCTCTGAACGGGATACAATGTAACAACTGAGACCGAGAGATGCACGACTTCTGTTAACTACAGCTGTGATAAAATGGGGAAACTTCACTCAAAACATGGTGAGTTGTACATCTAGAAGTTACAAAATCGCAACATATTTGTGCTATTATGTAAACGATTATTCAGTGATGGGAACTGTTCTTTCTTTTAGGATGACTTTAGTCCTAAATATATAATAGATTTAAACTTATTTATTCTTTAATGACTTCTACTAAATTTTAAGTGTTGATTTATATGCACCTAAAGGTAAAATGTCCCAGTTTGTATTATTATTGTTGTTGTTAAGTTTCTTTTTGTTTTTTATTGGAAATGTGAAGTAACAGTTATATTTCTGACAGAACAGCATAAAAAAAAGTTTTAAGTTCAGAAATGTCATTAATATAAGATGTTTTACATATGAAAGTAGCGTCGTTAGCTATTACCAAATGACTGACTAATAAATTATCACTTGTGTAAGCAATTCAAAGACGTGCAACTTTTTTCTCCTTAAAAAACTGGAAAATGTCATTACCGATAATAATCAGATATTAACTCCAGGACAACATAAATTGAACAGTTTGAAGACTAAATAACCAAAACATATCATCCATATATGTCATTTGAACACATACTTTATCAATCTTTGACATGCACGCTCTTGAAATACATACATTTTCCAAAATGCATAAATTTTATTATAAATAATGCTCTGCTTTTTGTCTTTGCTATTCGGATGCAGCTTGCAAACGTCGGGAAAATCCTGAGGGTGAGATTTGCATTTGACGCAGTTTTCTTTTTATAGTTAATATGAACTATTAATGGCTTAGAACATTTCCCAATGCTTTTTCAAATCCATTTCCAGGGGACAGTTTTGTTGTGAATGGCTTTATTTCAAGAAGAGGAGTTGAAGAAGGCGAGAGATATGGCACATCTGGCACCAATCTGAAAGATTACAAGGTAAGAAACACCTGTTTTTTGTGCATTTGCTTCCTTTAAGCATCTGAAACCTTCTTTCCATCCACCTTTAGACCTGTCTCACATAAGCAGCGACCTTCTAACTGAAATCAAACATATAATCCGACTCTTCTACATAGACACACTATCTCTGTGCATCATACAAATAGCACTTTGCTTGAGACACTCGACTAATTTCAATAAAATTTCCAAAGAGTATGTAGTTTGCATGTTGCAAAGGTAACTCTGTGTTATTCTAATAAGCAAGAATACACAGAACTAATACTAAGAAAAGTTTTTTTTGTCACTGTTTCGAATGACTGCAGTGCATTTTGCGATTGTTGAATCTTTTCCCCTGTATCATAATGGACTTGCTCAAGAATCTAGACAGGATCTGCACCAGAGAAGGAGTAACTTGCGGTGAGCCGTTTGCCATCTCGCTGCCAAAGACCACATTCCCACTGACGAGAAATCATCATTACACCGACTGAAACAAACAGAACAGAGTGTGTGTTCGCAAGGCCATGCAACGACATGTCGAGCTCCTCGTGATGACGAGAGCTGCTTTTGTTTTTGTCGTGTTTGGCAGTGGGACAGCTCCGCTGTGGTTGTTCCCCTGTGGGATTGATGGGTTTTGACAGCCCTTTCCCTGCGGTGGGACTGTGACATCAGCGCCGGGCAGACGGTTGGTGATTGACAACTGTATTAACTAACAGCCGACAGTCTCGGTTAGTCCTGGACGTACGGCAGCTCACATGCATAAATGTCTGTGTGAACTGTGTCGAAATGTACAGTGACTTTTGGGAGTGTCAGGTGTTGATGAGTAATTTCACTAAATGTGATCGGTTGAGGTTTCATCTCGTGCGAACCAAATGGTCTCTTATTATGCAGTTTAATTTATTCTCTTCCTCTCCACCTAAGCAGTTTGTAAGAGTTCGTTCTCTTTCTCCGATCACACAATACTGCTATTTTCTGACATTTTTCCTCATGGCATACGTATGTCAGGAACACAGTTCTCTTCATATTGCACATTTTGAACTGATTTATATAAAACAAATCAGTATTGTGAATATTGCAATGATTTATTGCACTTTTTACTTGCTCTTGTTCAGGGAGAGATGTTGTGATAGTGTCTCTCTTTTTTAAACTTCAGTAAAACACTCTTAGAGTTTGTTCGATTCATTTCTGTGAATATCCATTTCAAATAATCAATTCCAAAGTCAAACTCAAACATTTCTGAAGATTTATTTAAATAAACAGTAATTCACAAGAATGACTCAAACATGTTTGTTTGATTCATTTCTTTGGATGAGTTCAAACTGTCCATTTAATATATATCTATTCAAGAGTCAGTCTCAAACATCCCCGAATTGCTTTATTGAAATGGACAGATCATGGATAGAATGGTTCAAAAGAATGAATCAGTGGATGGGTTCAAACTTGAAAAGGACAGAAAATCACTGGAAAGATTCAAACCAACTCTAAAAAGTTTGTTTGATTCATTTCCGTGAATGACTTTAAACTGTCCATTTCAAATCTCTGAATTGATTAATTGGAATGGACAAATATTCTTAGGAATGAAACCAACTATAACCAGTTTGTTTGATTTCATTTTTTGTGAATGAGTTCAATCTGTGCATTTCACTGAATCAATTCAAAAGTCAGTTTTACACATTTTGAATTGATTCATTGAAATGAACAGAAGCCGATGTGTCTCATTATGTCAGACTCTTTGCATTGCATCATTTCAATTAGGACGGCATAGTATAAAGACTAACTGATGATTAACCTGCCCTATTAGAAGCCTTATAAAAGTTGTTCCCTTCATGAATGGGAAAGTTATTTGGGAAAATTTGACAGCGATCTTTAGGGGAAACCACCGGCGGCGCAGGGTACGTCATATGTCATTAACGGGCAGGTCCAGGGTTTGATTTAATCTAGTCTTGGCTCTGATTTGTGTTTTGTCAGTCATCAAGTACCTGAAAGAGTCTTTGAAACTGTGAGCAGGAGCACTTTTGATTGCTGATAAGACAAACTTGGGTTGTTTATTAAGGGTGGTTGAAGTGCAAGACATCTGTATAATTAAGGGCACTTTCAAACTAGAGCTTTTGGTGCGGATCCGAGTCCATTTCAGGTCAGAGTTTGGTTAATGAAGGGGTCAAACTCTGTTTCAAACCATCATTGAACTAGCCTTGTTGTATAACATGTTGCAGTTTAGATCATAAGCATTGTCTTGTGTTGCCATCTTGCTTTTGGAATTTCATTGCAAATGCATGTGTGCTAGAACTAGGCAATCACGTTTCTCTGTCTAATCTGCTATTTGTGATTTTTGAAAACATCATAATCACAGATTTGTGCTGCCATGTTTATTCTGCAGTGAACCGAATCCTTTGTTATACAACATCTTGATGAGTTGCAGGGATAAAGAGTCATTGTTGTGTGATCAGAGCTGATTTGATTGAAGGTTTTTTGGAGTTACTATATTTTACTTCTAGTGACTGGCAGTTGCAGTAAGTAAGCTGTATACCTAGTATTACACGAATAGTTCACCCAAAAATAAACATTTTGTCATCATTTACTCGCCCTCAAGTTGTTCCAAACCTTACGTTTCTTTCTTCTGCTGAACACAAAAGAATATATTTTGAACAATATGGGCAACCAAACAGTTGATGGACCCCATTGACTTTCATAGTATGGAGAAAAAAAATACTATGGAAGTCAATGTGGTCCATCAACTGTTTGGTTACTGACATTCTTTAAAATATCATCTTTTGTGTTTAGCAGATTAAAGAAACTTTTTGAGGGTGAGTAAATGATGACAAGATTTTCCTTTTTTGGGTGAACTATCCCTTTAACAACAAATCCTTTAAAAAATGGTATTCAGAATCAGAACAGAACAGGAATGAAAAATAGAAGTGTAAAACAATCATACATTATAGTGGCATTCATTATAAGCAACATTAAAAATGTCATTTGGCAAAAATGACAAATTTATTTAAACTGAAACTGAAACTGCTGTCGTGTGGGAAATCCACTATACAAATAAACTCTCTAATGTGTGCGCTTTGTGCATGTTTTGCACGCTTGCATTATAAGTTGTTTTGGAATACAAGTCGCAGCATGTTATATTCTGGAAAATATGGTAATCATGGAAGTAGTTCTTATGACTTGTGCACATGACAAAGGTTGAGTAAATGTTGACAAAATCTTACGTTTTGTAATATTGCAGTATTTCATCAAAGACGAGTCCACTGGGAAACAAGGACTACTGGTCTCTTGAGTTTTAGGCTGGGAAAAAAAAACAGCAAATTTAATGTTTATTGTGTTTAATGTATTGTATTTGAAGTCCCCATCATGTTTTGAACATGGAAACGAGTTTGTTTATTTCTCGAACATCTCCGTTTCTCTTCGTAATATTGAGGGATGTTTGAGTTTATAATTGCGGTTGAGCTGTTGTAATTTTTTTCCAGACCGCATATATAGAAAGTTTTTTTACAGACTGTCTACATGACATTTCTCTTTGATGCTGAAATGACTCTGAAATGAAATTTATTCTGTTTCTGCTATAATTTTCTCTGATAGTCTGGGTCGTTTACGATTGGTTTATGATGCACAAGTGTAAGAAGAATCGAATGACGTCTCACCCCTAGGGATTGTTTGACATTTGTCGAGCCGGTTGTAGCGTTGTATTGTCATTATAAGTGCGGTTTGACTTTGCACCTCAGAGCAGCTGTAATTCTGTCCTCTAAATGAACTGAAAGGAGATATCTCTACATGGACTGATGCTCGTGTCCGTGACAAACCAGAGTAGATATATAGTTTGACACTCAGTGTTTAAGGATCTCTTTAAGAATGACGTATTTCTGGATTACATCAAGTGAGTATTTTGAGTTATGTAGAGCTGCTTTATTGTAGAAACTTGTAATTGTAATTCTAATTGAAAGAGAGACTGACACTGCTTTTTCATGTTTAATACTTTAAAGCTGCTGCTTTGAAACAATCTAATGTATAAAGTGCAATTGTTACGTCCCTTTTAATGTTGTCTAGAGATTAAGGGAATAACACTTTTAAAAATGGTGTGTGTGTGCCTCAAAGTGCAGGACAGAGCAAGAAAAGAAAGCGTACTCCTCAAATTCAGCTCAAAGGGATTTATTAATCCTCAAGGCCATAACGAATGATTGAAGAAAATAATATTTACAATATGTACAAACGATGAATAACAACAACAAACAAAACAAACATTTAAACACAAACAAAACCCCAAGGTGGGAAGGCGAGTACGAGAGATGCCAAATCAAAGAAATCAAAACAAAACAAACTAGCTAAAGTTAACTCAACTAATCTAACTACCAAACAGAAAATGTAGAAAAGAAAAGTCTTCGGCGTCAAGACGCTCTGATTAAACTATACTAACTAAATAACAAAACTTACAAATTGGGCACTCTCCTAAACTGGTGTGTCTAACATATTCATAAATTGCAAAGTGTATGTCGCGCGACCTACTAACCTGCTCTCTTCCCAGCTTTACACACTCCGTGTAAAGTGGTCAGGCTGAACAGTATCCTCAAAACACAATGCAACAATTAAACAGAACACGAATGTTAGACACACAGACAAATCACTGACAACAAGTCAAACAAGCGCAACAGACAAGGTGAGCACACAGCTGTCCGACATCGGAGTAATCACGGCATTTAACTGCAGCAGTAAGATGTGATTGGCAGAGGTGAACCGAGACGTCATCGCCCTTCATTAAGATTGGCAGTAGACTGATCCAATGGACACCTGAAACACACAGACCACAACAACAACAACAACACACCCACATGTCCATATTGCAACACCAAACTACGTACGAGTACGTAACAGCAATATAAATAAACGTGACTTTACTGGAGTGCTGAATTGCAGAGCTGGTGCAAACGTCCACATCGCTATATATTCAGATGCTTTCTGAACTACTCTTTTCTCACCTCTGTCATTTCAGTTGTGTGTTAATTTTG